CCTGACAGATAATGATCTGATGATGACTGAAGAAATTTCTTCCTCATGCGAGACGCCTGCAATCACATTCCCGATCAAGTGGTGCACGAAAACATTAGTTGATCAACGTGGACCATATTTTGGGATTGGTCGAACTACCCAATATAACCGGAAGAAAAGGGCATTAGCAGCAGCCAAGAAGAATGGATCGGTTATCACCAATTATTTTGGCAGTTCCAGCCCATCTGGTGCTTATGAAGAAATAAGCGAAGCTCCATCTATTGAGGACATTGACGAGGAACTTTCTGACGACGATGAGGGAACATCAGCATCCATCAGCGATTATGCAGCTGCCTATGAGCGAATCGCCCCCCTTGTGGCCCCAAAGATAAATGCAGCACATATTGAAAATCAGATGCCAGATTATGAACGCGCTAAATATCGTGCCGTGCATCTTTACCTCGGTTACCTTCTAAGCGGTGAAAAGAAAATGAAAGCTTCCTTGATGGCGGCTTTTACTATATGGAATACACCATCAAAGTACTACCGCCCCCAAGCCATCCGAAGTTGGGCAAATGATTTTCTACAACACGGGTCAATCTCAAAACATCAGCAGGGAAAACACACGAAACGCCAATCCCTTCTGAACGATGAAGACATCCAGCTTGCAGCAAAGGAATGGATGAGATTGAGGAAGCCACAAAAACGAAACCTCACCGATCTGATGCTCCATCTCAACCGCGTTGTGATCCCTGAGAAGCTTGGAGTTCCTGGGAGACTGTCCCTCTCCCAAATCCAAATCCATTTGCATGATTGGGGATATGCTTACAGAAAGCAAGGGAAAGATGTGTATTTCGACGGCCACGAACGCCCTGACGTTATTGATTACCAAAAATTATGGGCTTCGCGAATGATAAAGTACATGGAGCGCATGTCGACCTTTGTTGGCGAAGAGGAAGAGATTGAAGTAGAACCAGCGCTTGGTCCTGGCATCCGTAAACTAGTCATGGTGACACATGACGAATGCACTTTTTATTCAGGATCTCTGGGAGTATAACACGCCACACTCTAAATATATATATCTATATATTACTATAAGAATATATATGCTTGTGTTACACAACGTTGCCTATATATGTAAAATGGGTCGGGGAGTCCAAAAATGATCATTTCAAACCCCGCTAACTATTGCACTTCCCTAGAAAACTTGTTTTTTCTTTGTTTTATCTATAAACACACCATACCATACTCCCTGAATGGTTATGATCTATTTCTGGAACACTTTTATAACTTGTCATTCATTTTTAGTAACTGAATCTACTATTTTTCAGCAATTATTGACGATTTTTTTTCTTACGCCAATTTTACAATATTTTAGCTGCATAACTATAGCAATAAATACAGCAATCTTTATGTGAAAGTTGTCCCTACTATATTACGGTGATACAAAGCCTGTGAAACCTCAAAATCAAGGTGAATGACTGCCTCATCTAATATATGTTTTTAAAGGCTCCCAAATCGTTCAGTGTGTGGAAGTGGTTAGGGTGTTAGGTAGGGAATGGAAAGGTTCTGGGTTCAACCCCCTGCTTTTTGCAATTTATACTTTACATGTATTTTTTAATTCCTGGGCCTCGGGTTCAGAATGGAAAGGTCCTGGGTTCAATCCCCAGCCCCTGCAGCTTGCACTTTTTTATTTTTCTAGAAAGTCTTGATGAAATGTACTGTATGATCTCAGATTTGATTTAATCGAATAAAAATATTACCCAATAGGAAATAATCATATGATAATCATATGATAATCACATGCTTATCTTGTGATAATGTGTAGAACCTAGAAAAATGTATAAAATGCCATAGTTTTCCTGCTTCACATATATCCCCCATTCTACTTGTATGTCTACTTCTACCACACTTACTATCAAAAGCTCCCTTATCTTCAAGGATATAGCACCTATTCTTTTAGACTGTGTTCAGGCATCAAAGTAAGTCATTAGAAGCAGTAATAGTTTATTATAGCTAAAGCATCTAAACTAGATGGCTACTTGATATTGCAGCCTTATATCCTGAGAAGTTCCACCCAGAGGGGTCCAAAATAGCTATAGTCTCACCTACTGGGAAAGCACCACCCTTACAGAGGTTCTCTCTATAGCACCAGACATTGACAATAGGAAGTTGATATAACTATCTAACTGTTCAGCTCATATAGTAGTAGTAGGTACAGCAGTTGTAGCTGATCAGGAACTCAATGAAAGTGAGTATAGTGAGGAGGAAATCCTTCCTGTTAGCAAAAGAGTGTGAAACAGTAAATAAAAAAGCTATACTAGAAAGGGAGAAGAAGCTGAAATCTAAAGACAATGTGAAGTATATATATGTCGGGGTTTAAAATATTGTTACACGATGCGCGTTATTTAGAGCTATCAGAATATATAATTTTTATGTTTGTAGCATGATTGGTGCACCATCTAGGTCAGATTGAAAGTGTGGCATGCTATACTCCCATTCAGCCGTCCTGGGAATTATGTGGCTTGAATTCCTGGCAGAAAGTGGTCTTGAAAGCTTGCCAGGTCTTCAGTGTTCTATTGGAGAGACTATCGTCGGGGTCGGACGTGGTTTCAAGATGGCACCACCATGTGGCTGCGCCGCTCCGTAACAGGCTCGAGGCGTAGGAGACCTTCCCATTATCATTGAGGCTGGTGCAGTCAAGGTATTTTTCAACCATGTGTAACCAGGCCTCTACCGTGGCAGTCGAACGTGTGGTTGAAAGGTAGTTTATCCCTACACATTTCAAATTCAGTCAGAGTTGCCTTTCTGGGGTGTTTGACTTTTAAAAAATAATTTCAAATACAGTCAGCTTTAAAACACAGTTAAAGCCACCCAAAAAATTTTCAGTAAACAATACAGGATTTTCAAGAACTTTTTTGCTTCAAATCCAAATACAAGTTTTAGTATTTCGTTTCTCTTCTTCCTTTGAAATTAGAATGAAACACAAATGTTTGGCCTCCCAAAATTATTCTGGTGTAAAAAGAAGAGAAGGAAGACTCACCTATAGCCTTGATTGAAATGTTCTTGCTACTATTGCCTTTAAATTTGACAAAAGGGTAGCAACGAAATACTAAAAATTGTATTCGAACTTGAAGCAAAAAAAAACGAAAAACCTAGATGGTCTATATGAACAACTAAAATTTGTGGCAAACTTCTTCTTGAAAATCCTGTATTTGCGCTTTAATATACACGATCTAGTAAGGATAGGTTTCTAAAGATAGAGTTTGTGATTACTAGGTCTAGCAGTTTAAGAGTTTTTTGCTTGCTTGTCCCTCTTGTAGATTTTTTTGAATGTGGCTTATTGTTTTGATAATATTTTTTAGATATCGTGACTTAATATTTTGCAAAATTTGCAAATGCTTGTGACGTGTGGTTTTATTTTAGAAAACATGAATTGCTCTTGGGCACAGGCCTGACCTTAAAATTATTTTTATTTTTAAAGTCAAACACCCCAGAAAGGCAACTCCGACTGAATTTGAAATGTGTAGGGATAAACTGGATCTGATCCGAACGTGTCCCACTGAACGTGTCAGGTTGGACAGGCTTGACATTCGCATACTTGTTGGTTGTCGATTCGCGCAATGCTTTCAATTCTTCTTGCTGGGATTGCATCTGTACAAGCATCCTTTGGATTGTTTCGAGTAAGTTCTTGTTTTCCATAGCGGCAATTACAGTCTTGGCTATCGATTGGGCTCGTGTTCTAAGAGTGGCAAGATTGTTCGAGTTGAAAACTGCACGTTCACCTAGGGGGATCTGGATCTGTTCGAAGTTGGTGCGGTATTGTCCTTGGTATTCTTGAGGGAGAAGCTCGTAGACGTATTCTTGTATAACAAATTTCTTTTGTTCTTCGGAGGTAAATGGCATCAGCTACCAATTGTCATTGTCCTGGTCACGAAGATCCTTTTGCAATAGACAACGGCGAGTTCACACAGAACTGGAATGTCACTAAGACGATTCAGGGAAATATCAGAAATGAGATGTCCTTTATTTAATGAAACTATTTGAGTATTTATATGTTTTTCTGTATCTAAGAATATGTGGCTAATGTATATATATAGATTGTGGCTAGTCGTTTGAATCTTGTGGACTGGTCTTGGATGTGGTACGTGGCTCGGCAAGAGTACTGCGCCTTGTACGTTCTTGCGAGTCTTACAAAATAAATTAGTTTGTGTGGCCAACTGAGCCTGGCCACGACAATTGTCGTCTTCGTAATTTGGCGGATACACCGTAGCCAGAGAATAGACTTTTGGAGGAACAATTAAATGTGACAGATAACTCTGAGATGATGTTTATTGTTTGGACACTGCTTGGATATTTATATTGTTTTCTAATGCTAAGTATACTTAAGATAATACTGCACAGACGTCATGGAGAATGGATGATGTAATTAGAGATGTAGTACAACGTGCGTGATAATCCATGGCGTCATAATGCTAAAAGGTAGTAAGCCCAACATTACGTCAGGGATCGTTATGAAAATAGACTTGAGCTGGAAATTCTAATGACCGATTAATCTGGCTATGACAATTCTAATGACCGATTAGTCTGGCTATGACACAATGTTGTCAAAAGAATATTGGTGCGCCAGCACATAATACCCCGACAATATACGCACGACAGACGTGTTGTTGCCACAGCAGGTGTCGTCGCACAAAATTCCCAACGAATTAGAAGGCTCACGACACCGCAGCACTTCGTGACTAGAATGCTGCGACACTTCGACTACTGCGGCATCCTCTGCTGCGACGCCTCATCGATTATCACAGATTAGAAAAATATATAAATACCCAACACATAGCTAGCAATAAAGGCATCGAAGAAGTATTCTTTTATTATCATCCTTGCATCCTAAACGTCCCTACTGGCCACGGATATATCCGCCAAAAAGTCGACACAGGGATGCTTCATAGAACATGTGAATATTGTGCGACGACAAGTAATGTTGTGACACGTTCAGTCCACGACAACTAATACCTTTAAGCCCTACGTGGGGGTCGAACCCACAGCCTTGAGATTAAGAGTCTCACGCTCTACCGATTGAGCTAGCAAGGCCTTTTTTCTTTGTTGGTTTTCTTGTTTCCTAGTTGTCTTGTCTCTTTCCGCTTTTGTAATAATATCTTTATCCAGCCCAAAGAGTACTCAAACTAGCAGTAAACAAGAGGATATGCGCCGAGGAAGCCTTGATTTCAGGAGGAAGCGGAATATAAGAATAAGAGTAGATAGATTGACTGTTCTTTATTGTAGTAAAGGATACAGCTGATATTTATACTAATGTCTAAAGAAGATACTAGCAAAAGCTACTGATGGTTCTAGAGACATCCTTTTTCTAGAAGAGTCGACGTGACATGACTGGTGTGGTGGGGAAGTAATCGTGGAGCAAGTTCTAGAAGATGCCAGGAAGCGCCATGGCATTTTAGCTTCCGAAAGGCACGTGACAAGAGGGATGTTTGGGATCACGTGCTTCGAATTGAGAGCTTGGGTTGACCGGGATTCCTGGGCTTGAATCTTTGCCTTGATTTGGCAGTCCTGGAGCCAAAACTCCGTTCGTCCACGACATTACTCCCTCCCGAAACACTTGTTTGTCTCTGAACAATGGCGGAATCATGGTGACCAAAACTTGCAGACCGGTCAGTCAAATGGTCTTCGTCAACAGTGTTAGTAACAAGCTTGTCGACTTCGTCATTGTCAGGTGGTAGACCCATCTTGGAACGCCATTCAGCACGAGCAGTTGTAGGGTCAAACCATGGAGTTGCCGGCTCTGTGTCAAAGTTCACTTTTGCCAAACGATCAACATGTACCCAGGAAGCAAGTGGTTGTCCCTGTAAGGTCTCCAGCTTGTACGTTCCAAAGTCTTCATTCTTGGCAGTAACAACGTAAGGTCCTTTGTACTGGGGTTCCAAACTGTAGCGGCCTTCGTGTGTAAGCTTGACATAGTCACCGACATCAAAGTCAACAATGTTTAACGCCTTGTCCCATCGTTCCTTGTCCTTTTGTCCAACAGCCTGCATTCTTGCCGTAGCAGCAGCACGAGCGTGGTTCACCTTTTCCAATTCTTGAGCAGTCAATTCTGCCACAACTCGAGGGTCCTTGAGAGCTTCTTCCGAGATGTATGGGCGAAGGGGGTCACCTGGCAGTATTGGGTCTCTTCCATAGGTAAGGTAAAAGGGGCTGTATCCAGTAGTGGCATGTGTTCGGACACGGCAAGCAAATAAAGCAGCATCCAAGTAATCATCCCAAAGATGAAGGGCGCCATTTACATATTTGCGCAACATGGACTTCAGAGTACCATTCAAACGTTCGCACTTGCCATTGGTTCTCGGGTGAAAAGCAGATGTAAACTTGTGGGTAGTACCGATGCGCGTTGTATAATGGGATAACACTTTGCTCATAAAGTTTGCACCGCGATCAGTGAGGATTTCCTTGGGACAGCCAAAACGCATCACAATCTCTTCGTACAAGAAGTCAGCTACAGCTTTACCAGACGCAACAGGAACAGCTTTGCAATTGGATAGTTGGTCATGTAATCCACAGCAACTAGGATCCACCGGTTTCCACGAACAGTCTTCGGCAGTTCGCCAATGAAGTCGAGGTGCCATCTTGAGAAAGCCGCAGGGACATCCAAGGGGTGCATGACATCATGATGAGCACGATCGCGTCTACTATTCATTTGACAGGCAGGACAGGTAGACAACCAATCACGGATGTCAGCACGCATAGTGGGCCACCAATAACGAAGATGCATCAAGTCGAATACAGTAGTCTTGCCGGCGTGTCCAAATCCATCGTGAAATGTCTTGACTTTATCAGCACGAAGAGCAAATGGTAGATAACGAACTTCCTTGATAAGAGGATCACCGTCACCGGACTTCAGCTTGATCTTGTGATATACTTTACCATCACGCACCACGAAGTGTTCTTGCTCTTGGTCCAGGAAAGCAGTTACTTCCTTGGGCAAATCAGCAGGGCGAGAGACATAATACAATGGCCAGTCTTGACGATGAGATTCCGGTAATACATTCATGCTTGCATAAAGGAATTGGGGTTCTAATGACGTATCATTGGGTGGGGCATCGTATGCTTTTCTTGAAAGGGCATCAGGAACACCGTTTTCCTTCCCAGGCTTGTACAGGATTTCAGGGTCGAAGAGTTCCAGTTCATTCATCCAGCGTGCAAGTCTTGGTGTGATTTTGGCTTGGGACCGCAAGTACTTCAGAGAATTATGATTGGTATAGATCTCATATTGACGTCCTTCCAGAAAACATCGCCACGTCCTTAATGCATGCAATATAGACAACAGTTCGCGTTCTTGTGCCGGATAGTTTCTTTCTTGAGGGGACAACTTGCGGGATTCGTATGCTAGAGGATGCCATACACCAGTGTCATCGGGCTGTAATAATACAGCACCAACGCCGACATCTGATGCATCACATTCGACACGATAGGGCTTGCTAGGGTCGGGAGCTTGCAGCACAGGAGCAGTAGTCAACTTTTCCTTGATCAGATCGAAACTTGCTTGGCATCCGTCAGTCCATACGATAGGTCTCTTCTTGGGTCCAGAGCCTTTGGTCAAGTCGGTAAGGGGTGTCGCAATGCTCGCAAAAGATGGGATGAAACGCCGGTAATGTTGAGCTAGTCCAATAAATTGCCGGACCTCTTGGACATTGGTAGGTGGCTCCCAATCTTGAATAGCTTTAAGCTTTCCCTCTGCCGGTTTGATCCCTTTGGCTGAAACACGGAATCCCAAGAACTCAACTTCCGTCTTACCAAACTCGCACTTTGACATATTGGCATACAGCCTGGCTTCCCGTAGTCGATCCAGTACCATCTTGACATGCTTGACATGTTCTTCTTCTGACTTGCTGAAAATCAATATGTCGTCGAGATACACCAGCGCAAAACGGTCGATATAGTCACCGAGTACTCGATTCATCAGGCTTTGAAAGGTAGGCGGAGCATTGCACAATCCGAAAGGCAGTACCAAAAATGAGAATTGACCATAGCGGGTGTTGAAAGCCTTTTAGGGACATCTTCATCCTTGATCCGAATTTGGTGATATCCCGACTTGAGATCTAAACTGGTGAAGTACAAGGCACCTTGTAGTCGTTCAAGGCACTCATCGATTCTTGGTAGTGGATGTTGATTCCGAATCGTCACCTTGTTCAATGCACGATAGTCAATGCACATTCTCATACTGCCATCTTTCTTCTTGACAAAGAGTACTGGGGCTCCCCAAGGTGATACACTAGGCTTGATCAGGCCAAGTTTCAACAACTCATCCAATTGGCGGCGTAGTTCATCTAATTCCAAAGGAGACATCTTGAAAGGCGGTCTTGATATAGGTTTTGCATCTCCAGTGTCGATCACATGTTCTAGTTCCCTCTCAGGTGGCAATCCAGGTAATTCGGCACGAAAAACGTCACTGTATTCATCCACCAATGCTTGTAAGGTAGGTGGGATATCCTTGGACTTGATTTCATTCTCCAACAAATGTAACATGTATACGGCTTCGACTTTGTTCTTGCGCACGGCTTTACCAACTTGTCGATGGGTCAACAAGTAACGCACACCAGATTCGCCCAAGTACCGCTCTGGTTCCAGCTTGTACAGGATTTTCAAGAAGAAGTTTGCGACAAGGATTAGTTGTTCGTTGCCGTATTTTTTAGTTCGTTATTGCTGAGAAAAGTTTGGGCATAGAAACTTTGGTTGTTGGTGAATTGCGGCCCTGAATTTGGCCGGCAGCGGCTATTGAATTCGCAAAAAATCGTCGAGGTTTTTCGTTTTTTTCGTCTATCCAATTCGTCTCCCACAGCCCAGTTGTTCGGCAGCATTTCGAAGGTCGATGCCACATACAAAGATGTTGGATCCTGCAGTATTATTTTATCGTCAAGAGGATTCTTTTTTTTGGATTTGGTTGGCAAGGACATTCGCGCAAACAATGCAAGTTCTCGGTTTTAGTAATCCCATTTGGTTACTGCCAAGTCGCATTTGGAACGCACTTTTATTTTGTTCGCATGGCATCTCTATATATTTCGCAATCTCTCTTGCCGCACTTAACTTGAACATTTGTGCGATTAAAAGAAAAAGCGGCGAACAGTGGGAGACTGGCAGCTGCTGAAAGGTACCAAACTCGGCATGCTGTATTCTTTTCTTGTCATCCGTCGCCATTTCTGTGCAGCAAAGCTGGCAATTGGCCATTGGCTAGTTCGCCACAATGTAAGAATAAGATGGGTGAATGGCGTGAACGTGGAGGTAAAAAGGAGACAGTGATTGTCTGGAAAATAAAAGAAAGCCTTTAAAGCTTAAAAACAAAACGGGAGAGAATGGTACAGTAGGAGAATAAAAATGGGCGCGACGCGGTTAATTGAAATATCGATGCGCTTCCCACCCTTTTTCTGGTAGTGCGCCCTCGCATTATACTTTTGAACATGTGCAAAACGAACCATCCTGCTCTTAATTAAACACAAGCTATTGTGAGGAAAAAGAGAAATGGCAACAACTTCTCCGAGATTCTGCTTTCTCACGAAAACCATGCTGCTACTCTATTTGCCGCTTCTTTCGACACATGTGTGCACCCTTGTCTTTTGCAAACGTAAGCCTTGACATCGACAGGACCTTGCTGGTCTTCAACAAAGTCAAGCTGCAGTTAATGTCTAGATCTAATGTAAGAATAGCATTCGCTGGTCAAGGTGCTGATTGCAATAATGTCGAGCAAAGTAACTTACTAGTTATTATAAAGAAATACTCAATGCCATACCGTGCTACTATGAACGCGTTTCCGCCTTTTTAAATGTCTCTCGAATATGGCACATATCACGAATATACGGAAAATCGCGTGATTTCGAAGCACAATGTGACATTGATCATGGAGATCCCTGAAAAGAGACGGTGAATGCTTACGCTTTAAACGTCTCTCGCATTCCGCTTAAACATGTGCTTCTTTTATACCCCGTTCAACATCGAAATAGCAGCAGGAATCAATGAAATCATTCATATACTTGGTCGATTCGATCATGGACGTATGAAAGGTAATACCCTTGATGCGTCAAGGCGCA